AACTTATACATTGCGGATGGCTGGTTAGCCTGATGGCAGAGCTGAGCAGTTGTGACAGAGAACAACTGACCCGCTGTCTGGCTCTTAACAGGAAAAGTTTGCCAACCCTTGTTATAGATACTTATAGTTAAAAAAAAAAAAGCTTCTATGGATCTATGTTGGATTAAATGAAATCACATAGACCTCTTTAACCTAGGACTTCTTGAAGTCTTTAATGTGTTAATGTGCACTGTGATTTCTAAACATGTGATTTAGCATACAGTTTCCCAAGCTTATCTGAGCAGCAACCTCCTTTCATTTGTGTTTGCTGGTTCTTTGGAATAGACTTTGAAAAATGCCAGCCAAGGCCTAGAAACCACGAAGGTGAGATTCCATTTATCTATGGAACATGGGTGATGGGAACTTCTCAGTAGCTACAGTAAACCGGTTTTCACAGCGTTCTTCCGGGTACAAGCCGCATATATTGAGAAGGGAAACTCAGAAGTCATTGCTGAGGATGGGATGCCATGGCGTAGACACTGCCAGTGGTTATCCATGCCTGGTGTTAATATCCCAACTTCTACTGCAGGTCTATAAACCCTGCCCCCATTGGGATGTATTGATATAATTAGGAATTCCCCTTACGTCTTCTCGATGACAACTGGGGCGATGGGCGGGTCACTTACTTTCTCCTGACCGTTCAGCTCCTGGTAGGGGATGTGGGCAGGCAGGTAGGCGTGCAGCAGGGCACAGAAGGCCAAGCCATCACTCCAGCTGCTGCTGAAATTGGTGATGTCGATATTCTGCAGGGGAGAAAAGGAGCAGTAATCACTAAATTGTGCGATGTCACAGAGTAGGCTAATCACCAAATTGTGCGATGTCATGGAGTAGGAGGGAGGTTGTGTCAAGGCGGGTCCATATTTGGGTTTTCAGTAATGCAACCTAAGAACAAACTACCTACATTTTCTGGGAGTACATTTAATGTTGGCACCAGGAATGGTCTGGTATTGCCCAAATCCATTCAGGGAACAGCACAGAAAAAATTTTTTAATATTCAAAACAGTAGAGAATTTCTGTCTGTCCCCTGAAGAGTCATGAAAAGCTCT